TTACCCAATATCTTTAAGGCACCTTTATGTCTACTTTCCCCTTATCTTTAGTCTCTTTTGTTTATACTAGTCTCCTCTCAGACCCATGTAAATCAGTATATTCCTGTCACTTGTGTTCTTAAAAGTATCATATATTTTCTGTGAAACTTAACATACTAATGTAATGAGATAACGTATGCATTCCTGTTACCTAGCCCCACTCATAAGTTTTCAATAAAAGCCTTGGAACAAGGGCGACGGGGCCTTCCGCACTAGGGGGATGTGCCACAGCCTTCTCCAGTGAGAGGGAAGTGCCCCCGTCTGCTCTCCCGGCAAACAGAGAAGTGTTTGGGATGATCTGTGTTTATCCCCCTCATCCGTGACAACCCCAGGCCAGGCTCTGCGGGATTCAGAGCCCTGCTAACATCTCAGCTGGCCCCCGCTGGTTTCCCTCGGATGCAGGGAACGCCGGATTCTCTGCAGCCCTCCCCTGCAGCAGAGGGCCCGCTATAGCCGCCGTGCAGTGCAACATAGTGTATCCAGTACACTGGTGAATTTTGACTCTAGGGGGACTCAAGTTGATAACCTAGAACTTATGGAAAAATAACCTTGAAACGTAATCGAGCAAATTACTCTATTTTTTTTATGGTCTGTGAGAACATGTAGTATACTGAAAAGGCAAGAGTTTATTTAAGGTCAGTGAGCGGCCCAAGACCTCAGTTGGAATCTCAGATGTGGCCTGCATAAATATTTAGCCTCAGTCTCCTCACCTGTTATAATGACTCAATAAGAAAAACTATATACAAAGTAGGAGGTGCAAACCAGCGCTCCAAAAAATTAGCTGTCATTTTACCATGCTGGGTCTTATACAAGATAGGACACACTAAGCACTACTAGAGCCATCATACAGAAAAAACTAAACGAACCTTTTGGCCAACCCAATACCAGAGAGCGTAAGGATGGGAGACTGCAAGTGCTCTCTCTGTGCTCATCATACTCTACCTGCAGGCACACGGGCAGACAAAGACTCATGTTCTGAGATGCCAGCCTCAGGAGATTTACAATCTCCTTCTGTGATAACTACTCTGACTACAGACCTCACTATAGGTGTGGCCCTAAGTGGCCTTGCTGTACCACATGATAATCCCCTCCCTCCACCTTCTCACCTTCTCCCACAGCTGACTGGACCAAGCCTTGCTGTCCAGAAACCAATGGGATCTTTTCTGCAGAATGTGAACCAAGACACAGAGTCCTCAGGCAGTTAGTAGTTGACTAATGGAAGGAGGAAGGCTAGAGAGATAAATAGACCCTGAATTTGTGAACTGCTGATCTTCAATTCTAATTCTGATATAGTTCTGACATACTTTATTTTCAGGTAACCTACTGCATGTTTAACATAAAACCTTCTTTAATCTGAGTCAGTTTGTAGGTGATGTTACATACACACCTTCAACAATGGACATAAAGAACTCTGTTGCTCACTTACCAGCCATGTGACCCTGGAGAATTCACTTATCTCTATTGAGTCACAGATTTTTTTTTGCAGTAAAACAATGATCTGCCTGAGAAGATGACTGGGGAGATGGGAACAGGGGAGTGTGACTGGTGGAAAGGCGCCACGTGAAGGATACATTTAGTAAAGGCTGAAGGGCCTTTGGTTGTAATGACCTTGGAAGGCTTCATAAAAGAAAGGACAGTGGAGTTGAACTCTGAATTTGGTGAAGAGGCAGAGAAGTTTTCACAGTGCACGGAATCTCAACAATGCACAGAAGTAACAACATACTGCACAGAGAATCACTTCTATTTTTTTGGAGAAAAGGGCAGTGTTTTGGACAATTAAGAGACTACTCTCAGAGGGAGAGAGGACTCCCAAGAGCAACTACAGGAAATCATGGTCCACAAAGGAGCATGTGCAGTAATAAATCCCTTTGGTGAACAATGATGTGTGACATTGAACTGGAAGTTCTTTTCTGCCCTATGCTATAATCAAACCCTCCCTCATTATTTACAAAACCATCAGCAAATGATGTGCACAGCAAGTGCTTTATATTAGTGGTTCTTGGGGTGGGTTAGGGGTGAATGACAGCTAATTTTATAAGCCAGGGTCAGTGTTTAAGAAGAAATACTAAAGGGGCCCAAAGCACTGGGAGCTAGTGATAGGGGAGCTGGTAGCAGTATGAATGTGCAAGAGGACCACGGAAACCTCAGTCCCCAAGAAAGCCTCACCCATATGCATGACCCAAGCCATTTTGCTTATCTATGAAAGAAAAGAGTAATACTAGAAGGCAAAAGGATGTGGAAACCCTTGGGTTATAGAAAGAGAGAAAATCCTAGAGGCTTCTAGATCAAAAACAAATCAAAACAAAAAAAGAGTAAGGTTTCCTATATAAGAAAGAGAAGCAGATTGGCAAAGAAACAACATCTGTGCCTCTAAATGCTAGAAGATAATAAAACAATTTTATGGAGATTTAAGGAAAATGATTATCATAGAATTACATGCACACCAGACTGTGGTTTACTCGTGAAAGCAAAAGAAAGGCATCTTCAAACATACAAGAATTCAGAAAAATAAGATATAAAGAGAGAGAGATGCAAGTATTTTATCATACATAAGCCACTGCTTTCAATGAACATAAATCATATTTCATTCATGGACTTCCAGCATTACCCACAAAATGAAATCATCTTTTCAGTTCATAAAGAAAATTCTATGAAAATGAAAGAAAAGCATACACAGTAACATGTACACTGGGAGCAAAAGAGTCTAATGTAGTTTCCTTTTATCCAAGGCTCTAGTTTTAACTTGATATGTCTGAAACAACTAGAAATACATTATATTTAATTGTGGGGGTAAATTAATTGTTCCAGGCCACAAGAGTACTATGTAGTATATCTGCTTTGTGCACTGACCTGTACCTAGTGGTTTCAGTGATAATTCACCTTTAAAATGTAAAGCATTTACCTACTCATTCCTCCAAAGGCTTTTCATTTGTCACTTAATTTAAATTGGTAGAGAATGAAGAAGCCAAGTGTAGAAAAGGAGAGTAAATTTTCTTAATTTAAAAAATTTTTTCTTTAATCCTCACCCAAGGATATGGTTTTTACTACTCTCTTTATATCTTAATAGACTACAATAAATCCATGATACCAATCTCTCAATCTCTAGGAGCTATGTTATCTGTTCTGGGTTGAAATATTTCAGTCCACTGGGTATTCTTAAATTTTGGGTAAGCATGTTATCATATATTTTGTGTGATGTACAAAACTAAAAACTGAAGAGGGCATGGGGGGTGGTTTGGGGCACTGCTCTGGGAACTTCACACAGCCTACAGCAAGGTTGTTGGGGACAGGCCCAGACCAATGGGCAGAGAGATGAGTTATTCTTTGTACCGTGGACATTCTTGACTGTGTAAGCAAAGTACTAACCAAACCTTCAAAAGAATAAAGAACAATAAACAGAAGTTTCAGGGGAGAAGGGAAAAGTCTTAAGTTTGCTCCTGAAAGATAATGGACAAGTGCTGAAGTTTTGGGGTAATCTATCACATTTGGATCTGGGCCCATTTCTGGCTATTGCTATTGTTTCAAAATCATATCCATCATAGGCAAATTTCTATCACTGCATTTAAACAAAACTCAGTCTCAAGATTTCTGTAGAATTTCCTTTCTTTAAAAAAAAAAAGCATTCTAGACTTGAATTATAACATTGAGTATTTGCAGCTGCCACTGAAATATGCACTGCAAAAATAATTTTTTAAAAAGCAACTCACAAATAGGATATACATTTACTCAGCTTTTCTTTTCCTTGATCTCTTTCAATATTTTATAACACATTAAAGATCAGTAAAAGTTCCTTTCTTAAATAAATCTTCCAGCAGACGTCGTTAAATAGAATGCAAACGATTTACACTTCAAATTACCAGTCATTTAAAGAATCCTCTGCATGAACTGAATAAATAAGCCATCTGTGACCAAGGCCTCCCGTATCACGGTTTTAAGATGACCCAGTTCTTTATCAGTCATCAGGGTTTGCAAAATCTCACTTCTAAGGGGCATCATGAAGTGCTCTCTGCCTGCGCATAGTTAGAATCCAACAGGGAAAAGCGTAGTGCCAACACGGTCTTTATTCAAAATGACCCCCATATCCCCTGCCCCTAAAAAGAGAACTTCTATACCACCCTTAACCGAAAGCAACCTTTTCTCCAACGGAGAGCAAGTCAAGTCTGCGGCGGAGAAAAGGGAGCTAGTGAAAAGGCAGGAGAAAGCCGACCAGGTGTGAAAATGCACTGCGTGCCATTTGGCCTTGAAGATCAAAAGCCGGCCCTGTAAACTGGGTCTGGTCAGGGCTGCGGGAGCTGCCCCCAAAACCAACAATAAATCAGGGGATCGGACCTGCTCTAGAGAGCCTTACAGACACGCTCTGCGGACGCCCTCGGCGAGGCAACCCTGCGCGTCGCCAAGGGCGGCTGGGCCGAGACCCCCTGGGCGCCTCCAGTCCGGCTGGGCTGGGGACGAGGGGCCACGACTGGAGAAACTCAACTTTGTGCAGTTCCCGGCCCTCACGAGCAGGGGCAAATCTAAACCACTGCTCTGCCAGCAGCTTCCCTTTTTTATGGTGGTGGCAGCAGCTGGAGGAGGGGTGGGAGGTTTTGGAGGTACTTCAGGAAAGGATGACAAGAAGCGAGAAGAGAAGGACGACGACTCCCGACACACCCGGCAGCCATAGAGGGAAGGGGGCCGAGCCTCCCCTCGGTCCCACCGAGTCACACACGGGCCGGGCCGGTGGCGGGAATAGGCGAGGGCCGGGGGGCCGCACGGCAGGTGACAGCGGCGTCGCCAGTCCCCGCACTGGGGCCTCGGGCCTCCCCGCCCACCACGGAGCCTCGCCGCCCCGGCGCCACTGAGCCCGCCAGCCGCGCGATCCGACCCACGCGGGGACCCCCGCCCCCTCGGAGCGGCCGCCGGGCGCCTCCCGAACCCCGGGACTCGAGTCCGAGCGGACCCCGAGGCGCCCGTGCGCCTACCCTTTGGCGTGCTCGGTCTCCTCTTCATTGTCCCCATCTATCCCGCAAGTGTCCTGGTCGTCCAGTTCCAGGCTCTGCTGGCTGGCCGCAGACTCGCTGTCCTCCGCCATCGCGGCGGCGCGGGCTGCGGAGGCGGCACTGGTGCCGCGGCGGCTACGGTGGCGCGAGCAGCTCCCTCTAGTGCCGCCCGCCGTCTTTTCAGAGCCCGAGTCCCAGGCTCCAGTCCGGCCTGGGCCCGCCCACCGCGCGGGGGGGCGGGGCTGGGGGTCCGCGCGCACCCTGCCGTGAGGGGTGGTGAAGGGGCGGGAAGGGGCAGTGTGAAGATCAGTAGGCAGTGGCCGCAAGCCGGAGGATGGGCGACAGGGGCGAGCCCTGGAACCCAAGCCCGTCCCGTGCCTCCGCCTTGGGCCTGCCTCTGAATACCGCAACCTGCAGATGTCATATCCTGCAGTCTTCATTTTTGGATCACAGGTCACGCGATTTGACATCTCTGTATGTTAGCGAGCGTTGTTTCACCGTTGCAGAGATTTTTGACTCAGGAGCCAGTGTGGCAAGGACAGAGGTTTTTAGAAGCCTTCCCCACCCCACCCACAATATACACTTTTTAAAAATCCCATTGTCTGTCTATAGCTCAATTGCCAATATAGTAGCAAATCGGAGTTAAAGTCAAAACAGGGCTCCCAGCGTTTCCCATCTCCTCTTTCCAACCAGGCTCACAACTCTAAACTCGACAGAAAAGCTCTGGAGCTGCCCGTTTTCCCTGTGAAACAGGTAGAATAATATGTTCCTCAAAACTTGCAGAACGAATTGCTCCATCAAGTTAAGCCCTGCCAGAGCTATGGCAGCTATCGAAAGGTAGTTATAAAAGAATGGTCCAGAAACTACCCTGCATTCTTTTAAGTTTGTTTTTCAGATCTAAAGCCAAGCCATCAATCACAGGGTCCAACTCAATGCATGGTTGGGAAAGTCCCTTCCTGCATCCCATCATAAATGCTGCACAATCTCAGAATGCTTAGCTTTGCTGACATATGGGGACAGTAAGTGTTCCAAAAAAAGAAAAGCTTGCTAACCTACTCCCTGATTGGTTAACCCCAGCAACTTCCATGTGCCCAAGCCATAAACACCCCTAAGCCCCACATTTGGGGCGCAGAACCTGGGACCCTATCTCAGTGTTCTTGCCCTCTGCAGAGCCTCAATAAATCTGCCTTTGCTTTTATCAGTGTAACCTGGTTGAAATTCTTTTATATCAGGAGACAAGAACCCCAACCTTTTGGTAACAGCTGGACACCACAGACTGTTGGCTTAGGCCTCTTGGACGGTGGGAGTGGGAACGGGGATGTTGTCCATGATGCTGGGGAACTATGCAAGGGGATTGGACAGCTTCAGGCAGACCAATTGGGCTTCCCCAAGTAAAGATCATGACCTAGACCTCCAAGCAAAAGTCAGTGGCTTTCTAGGTTGAAATGATCTTTCCCCATAAATGTGGGAGAGAAAGGAGGTACTCCATGGATTGCCACATAGAAGGCAGGTGAAGTTCAGACTCCTATTTGCTGTTGCTCTCTGTACACAACAGCCTTCCCTTTGCTTTCCGGTAATGGGTGGTGTTCGAGGTCTCACCAGGCCACAGAGATTTTTATAGAAGCAGTAGAAAGATAGTTATCAGAAACTACTCAGTGAGGGAAATAAAACTTTTAAAAACCACCTGAAATTCTTTTGCATGAAGTATTGGGGGCATTATGTGGCTTTTTTTTCCCCACCAGAAGGGGATTTATGCCCTTAAAATGCAATGAGATAGAAGCATCTACAGACAAAAGTTGTGGAACGATTTCAAAGTCTACCAGCCTTTTATGACAGATGGATGATCTGTAAGAAGTGCAAAATGGGGCCAAAACATGAAGAAAATTCAATACTACCTTTCAAAATTGCAACTATTTCTGAGGTAGTAAGTCACATGTAGCCTCTGGCTTCAAACTTTCAGATAAAGGCAAATACAAATTAATGAGTTTCCCGCAGCTCATCCCTGTAAATATGAAGAGTTGGGTAACTGTCACCTGGTTGAGTAATCAGTACATTCCTGACAAAGTCTATGAGATCAGTCACTCTAGCCTATCATAAGTGGTCTCTAAAAGATTTCTAAACTACAAAGCAAAGGAAACTCAGGGGACATACATTTATTTGAATTTTTAAGAAGCTTTAACTAAGAACCTCTGACTAAGAACCTCTCAAAAACAATAAGAAAACAAATAATCCCAGGAAAATAAAATTAGAGCATCAAAAACCAATTAAACACTAGAAAACAATGGCACACTGGGGACACCTCTTCCCCGGAATGAAAACGAGTTGGCCCAGACATCTGTTCGATACTGGATTGAGGTATTATATAATATAAATGTTTGTCATTGCTAATTATTTGAAGGTGGTCAAAGTTTGCAGATGACCCTGGAAATGACCTTAAATCCTATTGTCATGTATAGAAACTCTCTCTGCTTCTAAAACTGTTTGTGTTCTTCCCTGGTTTAATTCTAGAGTTTGGGGGATTAGAACCAAGTGGCATCTTCTGGAATCTCAGATCCAAGATTTATTTGGGGAAGGGAGTGCTGGAGAGTGACTATCATGTGCTAACAGAGGTGCTTGGGAATTTCCTATCTGCCTGACTCATCTGCTGTTACAGATATAAGACCATAGTTGTATAATTGGTCTTGTTTCATTTAAGCTATTAAAACTTCTGCTTTTTAAAAAAGTGATGGTAAAATACACATAACATAAAATTGACCACCTTAACCATTTCTAAATCTATAGTTCAGTAGTGTTAAGTATGTTCACATTGTCACATAAGCAATCTTTAGAGCTTATTATCTTGAAAAACTGAAACTATTTGGATTAAACAGCTCTGCCTTTTCCCCTCCCGCCAGTCCCAGGCAACCACCTTTTTACTTTCTGTCCCTATAAATTTGACTACTCTAGACACTTTATATAAATGTACAGTAATCGTACAGTATTTGTCCTTTCGTGACTGGCTTATTTCACTCAGCATAATGTCCTCAAGTTTCATATATGTTGCAGCATGTGTCAGAATTTCCTTCTTAAGGCTGAGTAATGTTATATTGTATGTATATACTACATTTTGCTTATCTATTCATCCATCAATGGAACTTAGGTTGTTTCCACATCTTGGCAACTGTGAATAATTGTGCCATGAATATGGGTTTATAAATATCTGTTTGTAACCCTGCTTTCAATAATTTTGGGTATATACACAGAAGTTGAATTGTTGGGTCATGCAGTAATTCTATTTTTAATATTTCGAGGAACCACCATACTGTTTTCCATAGCAGCTGCACCATGTTACATGCCCATTAACAATGCACAACGGGGAGTGAACCAAATTTTTATAATGGGGAGTAAATGTGTCTGCTCCTTGCTCCAAAGAGAGAGATACCATCTCTCTCTTCTAAGGCTGTTTGCTATATAATTATCCTTGTAAAGATAGTCCAGAACAAAGAGCAGTCAAGTGTCTTGCTTTCAAGACATGGAGAAATATGAGTGGCCCTTGGAGAATCGTCTCTGAATAGTATGCCTTATCTCCTCAACCCCATTACAATCTTCTTGAAGTTAGTAATCATGCCATACTATTTCTATAACCCACATTTCTAGTGGGTGGATAGTGGTCCCCAAAAGATAGGTCTGTGTTCTATCTCCCTGTAAATGAGCCCTTGTTTGGAAAAAGTACTTTTGCAGATGTAATTATCTTAAGGATCTCAAGATGAGAACATCCTGGATTACTCAGGTGAGCCCTAAATCCAATGACAGGTCCTCAGCGGGAGATTAGAGAGACAGAAAAGGAGGGCAGTAAGTATTTGGGAGTGCCTCTCATTATGATGGGCTATGGGAAAGAATAACTAAGAATGCAGCTGTTGATCCTCATCCCTTCTGTGGTTCATAAGCCATTGTCAGAAAATTAAATAATAAATCCGATGAGGTACAGGGACTTGGTAGGCATTTCAATGATGGAGGTTGGGGGGGTCACACATATACCATAGGGGGAAGGCAGGTGGGGTAAACAGAAGGAGAGTATTTGACTGCATAGTAGAAGGCCAAGGACATTCAAGGCTCAGCCCCTACTAGCCATGTGACTTTAGTAAGTCTCTTAACCCTGCAGAGTGTCAGTTTTCTTCTCTATAAAATGGGGCAATATTATCTACCTTACCTGTATCACTTGGTTACAATAAGGCTGCCCAGCTAGCTATACAAGAAGTGGTGCAAAAGAAAGTACTTCAGAGGTTGTCAAGCACAACACAGATGTAGATGAGGCAGAAGATAGAATGGGAAACCCTGACACACTGCAGCTGTCATCAGACAGCATCCTGACTTTGAGAGTCTCCTTGTCACACCTGTTAATGGTTACCATTGTGGTTTCTTCCCTGAGTGAGCAATCAAGGAGGATTGTGGGAAATCACCCATAGACACTTAAGTAAAAACTTTATAAAGCCTGTAACCCGTCAATAGAAGGGAGCCATTCCCCGGCCACAGATGGCCTGTTCCCATTTCCTGGGAAGTGTATTTTCCTTAATAAATGTCCCACTTGCTTTGCTTTATAACATCTATGTGGTCAGTCCAATTCTTAGTCCACAACCACCAAAAGCCTGGTGCCACCTCTAGCTGCCACATATAGAATTAACACAGGTTAGGCATGATATCAAGCGTGGCAGCACTTACCTTCCAGGGAAAGCCTGGAAGTAATGTTTGTTACTGCCCTTTTTTTTTCTTTTAGCCCTGTTGAAGACTAAATGTTCAAGTAGTCTAGTTTAATGGGACAGATATGACATCACAGCACTGTTGGTATGAATTTTCTGGAAGAGGTGGGCTTTGAGATGAACTTGGAATAAAAGAAAGACTTCTTAGATCTTAGGTAGAGAGCAGGAGTGTCTGATAACATGTCAGAGGAGAAATAAGAAAACCTAAAATCTTTTGCATAATTGACCAGGAAAAGATCTGTGAGTGCAAATGCAAGGTGATGTAATTAGGATAATTTGATAAAGAGTCTCAAAATCAAATGTGAATAAATTGGATCCACTGAAGAAGCATCCACCAATTATGTTGTCAAGAATGCAGGTGGGAGAAATGAATTCAACTACAGTGTCTGGATGCAAAACTGCCATTTAGTGTGAT